GGGCAGCACTCTTTAAGCTCAGATGAGAACAGGTACATTCCCGGTGGTATGACCATAGATATAAGAAACTTTCTTAACTAGATTACTGGAAGCAAAAAGAGCCATCTGGAATCTGGGCCACACCTGCTGATGACAGCACAGATGTCAGGAAGTAGAGTGATTGATTTGTGCCTGCTTGCCCTCACTCTCATCCTGTTGCTGAGACATTCCTTTGCTGGTACTAGAATCAACCTTGGGATTTTAATAAAGACTGAAGATCAGAACCTCTCTAGTGACAGGCTGAGACTGCTGAGACATCCAGCCTCATAGGATGAAAAGTATCAATCAGCTTCTCTATCCTTCATTTGGGAGGCATCCATGGTTGGACTCCTCAAACCACATCCTGTAAGATGGCCTAATCCCCTTTAAATGTGCGCGCACATGCGTGCGCGCGTGCGTGCGTGCGTATTTTTCATTCTGTAAATTTTCTTTCTTTAGTGAATCCTTGCTGCAGGCCGCAGGAATATCGTAAGAACTCAGCTGGTTATGGCAAAGTCATTAACTGGAGGAATCAGGGAATTCCTCCAGAGGAAGCCAAATCCCAAGGAGTTTTTGGTGTTACTTGGCTTGTTATACATCAGCTGTATTTTGTTATGAAAATCTTGTGTGCCTTCATAGTTTTTCCAATTGACTTTCCCCTAAGAAGGACTAACAGTATAAACTGATCACTCTCTGGACACACACATTCCAGGTATTTGGAGAACAGCCTCAGGAAAGTCTTTCTCTGGAATCAGATTATCTACCTTAGCCACTTTCAAGGACTACAGGAAACACCACTCAGGTGGGCGCCCATTGTTAGTCCCAGGTGGACTAACAATGGTAACAGCCCACATGCAAGTCTCCTGACTTACAGTAAATTCCATAAGGAGACTCTGCCTAGGAGAGGTGGATGTTAAGTAATAGCTTTACACAATTTAGCTCCGACCCTCCCTTTATATACCGGGACTTCCAGAGCACAAGGGAGAGAAGAGAAAAGACAATGGAAGGACTAGATGGGTAAGAACTTGAGAGGAACAAACTGAGATGGGGAAGAACTAGATTGAAGGGCTAAAAGAGAGGACTAGAGGAATGAGATGGAAGATGAGGAAGAGCCAGATGGGGAAGAACAAGATGAGGAAGAACCAGATGAGAGAGAAGGAGACAGGAGAGGAGCTGATAGGGGAAAGAACTAGATAGATGAGAACCTAGAAGGGACAGAACTAGATGAAGGAATTAAGATAGAACCTAGAGGGGACAGTAGATACATATAGAGAAATTAGGCAAGAAAGGAGCTAGACATGAGAACAGAACTAAAGCTGTGTATAAAGGATGTTATGCCAGAGGAATTAAAGCAAGTGGACTATAGAACTCAGTGTACTGAGATTCTATTTCCTGAAAATAGTCCTTGCTGTTAGTTTCTCTCTCCTGAGCCCCTGGGATGTATAATATTGAGGCTGGTTCCACAAATATTATACAAGAAATCCTGACTAATATAAGTGCAAAGCTACCTCATATGATAGTTCTAATTCTAGTTTTTAAGAAACATCAAAACTGATTTCCCGACTGGGTGTTTCAGGTTACTCTCACACAAACAGTGTATGATGGTGCCCCTTTTCCCATACTCATGCTAACATTTGTTATCACTGGTATTCCTGATAATGGCCATACCATTTTGTGTGAGATGAAGTCTTAAGTAGTTTTATCCTGCATTTCCCTGATAGATAGATGCACAACTTTTTGCTACCATGTCTTGACAAGTACCCAAGCTAACATTGCCTAGGAGATGTGAGTGTATGAAGGGATCTTATCTAATGACTTTAAAGACTTCTATTCAACTAAATTGGAAACTTTAAAAGAAATGAAGTTGCACAAAACACAACAAAATTAAACCAAGAATAAATAAATAATTTAAACAGAATAATAAGCAGCAATGTGATGGGAGCAGTAACAAATGGCTTCCCCTGCCCTCCCACAAAAAGACCAGTGCAGATTGAACATCATAGTATTCTCCCAGATCTAAAAAAACAAACAAACAAACAAAAAAAAAAAAAACCAATACCGAATCTACTTGATTTAGAAAAGGAAGGGAGGTCTCCAGACTCTGAATGAAGCCAGTATTACCTGATACCAAAACTAGATAAAGAGACTTCTAAACAGTCTTATTAAATAAGAAACACAGAGCCAAATACAGAGGTCCAAGCCATAGAGATCAGAGCAATAGCTGCCAACTAATCTTAGCTTACTACCTTGCTGTAGCTTCCCAAGAGAACCTTTTATTATCTAACCTGAACCTTTATTGCCTCCCTGTTCTGCCTTCTTATTGTTTCTAAGCCCAGCCACATCACTTCCTCATCACTGCCTGTCTATACAGACCTCCAGGTCTCTATGGTTGGTACTGGGATTAAAGGCATGTGTCACCACGCTTGGCTATGTCCTTGAACACACAAAGACTCTGTCTGCCATGTGATCGGATTAAGGGCGTGTGCTACCACTGCCTGACTTCTGTTTATGGCTGGCTATGACCCCGAATTCCAGGCAAACTTTATTTATTAACATACAAATATAGTAGTACATTTCAGCAAGAGACAAAAGAATTAGGGTCTGGCTTGGTGTGGTAGCACTCACCTTTGATTGCAGCACTTAGGCAGAGACCGGCAGATTTCCCTGAGTTCAAAGCCAGCCTGCTCTGTAACCTTGAGTTCTGAGCCAGCCAGATCTACATAGTGAGTCTCTGTCTCAAGTGAGGGGGAAGGAGAGGAGAGGGAGAGACAGAGAGAGAGGAAGAAGAAAGAAATTATAGTCATTTGGTCATTGTTGGAATTTCTAGCCACTTCCCCAGCTACATGACTGCACATGTGCTGCCCAGTTGCCAAGCAAGAAGCTTAATCATTCTAGGGCTCCCCCCCCCCCCCCCCC